GCTCGCTGGGCGGCTCGCTCACGGGCTGCCTGTCCACAAAGTACTTCTCCAGGGACAGGTCCTTGTTCTCTGGGGGCTCGAAGGGGTCGTGTTTGTTTCCAACACCATATTCACCTGGGGGAGGGGGGACAGGGACACAGAAATGAAGGCCCCAAGGTCACCGTGAGAAGGCAGGATTGGGGAGCAGGCAGGCCCTCCGTGACCTGAAACGGGGCACGTGATAAAAGAGCCCCCAACTGCTACATCCCAGCTGGTCACTTTCGATGGCGATCAGGCCCCCTCCAGGGCCTTTTCTCACAGAGAATGGGTGGCCCCAAAGCAAGATCCAACCAGGCCACAGCCACAGCCACGGCCACCCCTCTCTGGGTAACAGGGGAGATGGTGAAGGAAGAGGGAGCTGCTCCCATGTCCTGTCCAGAAGGAAATCTAAGCCCCCACCAAGGCCCGGCCCTCAGCAACACCACGAACACCCACAGGACCTTCCCAAGGCAGGAGGCCACCCCTCCCTCCATCAGGTCACCCCTCTCCACGCGAGGCCACCACTGGCTGAACTGCCTTCCTCAATCACCTCAGCCCATCTCTCCCTACGAGCCAGCTCATCGGCTACTTGGCTGTTCCCAGTTTTTCTAACACACAAACAATTCCCAAACCACCACGGGGATGTTCAGGTGCTGCCCCCACTGACCTGCACATCACCCAGGGAAGGAGCATGGTACTTCCATAACACTGAGCTAATGACACCATCCATGTCCATTTCTGGGTGAAATCAACACACTCCTCACACGCTGACCACTTCCAATGTCACCTCCAGCCTTCTCTGGGGGGCATTCCTGGGGCTCAGGGGCCGTCAGTTGTGGGGACAAGTGTCATCCTGGCCTTGGCTAGCCTGTGCTCTTAACGTTGGGCCCCATAGGTGGGGCAGTGGGAGCTGCGTCTACTCTTGCAAAGGATCGGTGGGCTTGCCCCAACCACGTGGTCTCCCCTCGTGGCAGCATGGTGGCAGCGCCCCAACACAAAGCTGGCAGAGCCGGGGGCCACCGCTCGCCCCCATCTCCGGCCCGTGCAGCGCGGCTGCAAAGTGGGGACATGATCGCGAGCCGCCTCCCAGGCCGGCGTCATAAACAGGCCCAGCCGCACCGGGGAAGCCGGGAGAAATGGCTCCCACCAAAGGGCACCAAGCCTCTCCAACCAGGTGGAACCGCAGCCCCAGATGTACGACATTTAAGGACATGAGCCCTCCCGGTCACACCTTTCGACTTCGCCGGTCCATTCAGCCATCCCAGAGAGCCCCGGGGAGGGCCTGGGGAGCCGTGGGAAACTAAGCTTTTCTTAACAATCACCACGTGCAATTTTAAAAGTGTACTCCCCCTCCCCCCCTTTAGGCAGGAAAGATGTCCAAACCAGGTGGTTGGCAAGCAGAGGTGACAGGGTGATGACACACGCCTTCCAAGGCCACGATCAGGCAGGGGCTGGGCCTGCATGGGCCCTGGCCAGAATGGGGTGCTCGGCCCGTCACCCCCGCCCACACCTCGCTGCCCCTGAGCAGACTGAGAGCCACCTCCACACTCTACCTTTCCGCTCCAGGTCGCAGGGACCCGAGCATGGACAGTCCCAACCCCGCTGCAGAGGCACCTTCCTCGGGGAGCTGGTTTCCCACATCTTCACCCTCACGGCCAACTTCCTGACAGCGAAGTGACTTTCCAGCGCCCAGACCTGGCCTTTGGCCGCAGGGCCGGCCTTGCCCGCCGGGGACAACCACCTGGAGGCCTTGCGATGACTTAGTTCACGTGTCAGCAGGCAGGGACTGGGGACCTTGTCTCCCTCCCACAAGCCTGTCCAGCCTCCTGCAGGCTTCCCAGCTGGTAAGGCTGCCTGGGCGCCCCTCCCCCCCTCCAGCCACGCACAGGCCTGCATTCCTGCCCTGTCCCCAGGGGCCCTGTAGGGTGATATCTCTGGCTCTTCCTGAAGTGTCATCAGGAATCCCCATTCCTAAAGTCGGGGCTCACTGCC